GGATCAGTAAGATGTGTGCGCGATCTAGGGAGGCGGGCGTCGGCGCGCCACTGCAGCTGGCGCGATGTGACTGTGCGAGGGCTGAGCGATTGAGACGCGTGCGGGTGTGGGTGGGGGGTGGGACTTCGGCGGAGGTAAGGGCACTTCAAGACGCGGCACAACGGATGGTTCAGGCGTGCCTCCTCATTAGCTGGTGTGTCAGTGAGCTCCACACGTTGTAGCGAGCGGCGCTGAACCACACGATGCGTCTTGTTGCTAGCTATATACGGTAGGAGCCAGATCTAGAGTCTCAGAGTGGATGGAGCGTTGGGGTTGGGTGGGTGTTGGTGTGGGTGTGCAGACCTCGATGGAGAGACGACTCTCGCAAGCAGAAGCTCGTGATGCGGGGGCTTTAGCATGAGGGAACTACAAGGCTGGTCGGACGGACACTGCGATCAGTGATAGGCTGGCGTAAGGCTGTGACTGCGTCCGTGCGCTTTATCGAGTGAAGTCTAGCGAGCGAGAGAGCTAGAGGTCAGCTTCGGCGGGAGGGGAATGACTATTATGAGAGTAGACAAGATGGCGAGAGAAGAGTTGCGTTAAAGAGAGCTGCGACAGCAGGGGTACAAAAATGTTAGAGGGTCGGTGCAAAAATCGACGAGGGATACCGAGGAGGTTACGGCTATCACCTAACGCTTACTCAGAAGGTAGAGGGCTCCCCGAGAGTATCTAGTAACAGCGTATATCAGCCGTGTAGATATACTCCGAACTCATTCAGAACATGAGCTATGCTCGAGATCAAAGTATCAGGTCAGAAAGTACAAGCGTGTCAGCAGCTGGTGTGGCGTAGTTATTGATGGTACTTGGTCGAGACATAGAGGTGTGTCATAAGCGTGCAAATATTAATGCACCAGGTGGGCCGCGTCGTAGTATGACTCTCTATATGAAGGGAGCTGAGCGAAGAGCAAGCGTTTATGCTCAAAGATAATGGTTCGTTGGGTATTCTCACCGGTGAGTGTGTTAGCTCAGAACGGAAACGGGAGGAGATGCGAGTAGCCGTGCACGCGTGACAGGGCTGGAAGGAGAGAGCCAGTGGATGGGGGTCGCAGGCCTTCAATTCTGATTAGGGGACAGTGAGTTGTGAGGGGAGATGCCTCAGGTGGAGGGTGCGTGTAGGAATGTAGGTCGGGACATAAGTCTGAGGCTCTATTGCGAGCGCCATCGTTCGTAATGAGAGGCTACACGGGGTTTTGTGTGGCACCATATAGGGTTAGGTGAGTCTGTCTTCTATGGCGCCTTAGGCCGGTGCTCGGAGAAGAGGGACGTCAGTGGGTATATTAGTAAAGTGGGAATACGCGGAAGGTAGTCTGTTCTGAGTGTGTGGTTTGTGCTTTCATGGGGCTGCGCAGGCCGAGCGGGATGGCACCTTGCGGCGGTTAGGTTGGGTTGATGGTCTATGAGAACTCTAACGTGGGAGGGGGAACTAGCACGTGTACGGCGTGGGCCCTGGGTTGGTCCGTGTGGCTGTCACACGTAGGGTGTATCCGATTTCTGCATGAAAATGGACGGACGAGGGGGTGGGGCAGGCCGGATTCCGCGCAATGGGGAGCCGCAGAGATACCCTCCACTTGAAAGCCACAATCACCAACTCGGTTAGAGCGACGGTGGCGGGGGACGCGGTGTGTGTATGCCATGGGGCGGAGCGTGTGGCTGTAGGTTAGGCCAATGGCGACGAGGCGGCGTGCAGTCCAGTAGAGAGTGTGAATCCTGGGAGCTGATGTGCGTTTCGATTCATGTATCTGCACTCCTTGGGACAGCGTAATATATAGATTGTCATGCAGCTGAAACGGAGTTAGGAGAAAAGGGGTACGTAGTGACGGATCGACCGAGTAGAGGAGCGGTATGGCGGTATTAGAGTTGGCAGCAGAGCGCACGGCATGCGAGCTTCGACATACGAGAAGGTTTGAGACGATTCATGCGACAGGCTAGGAGGGGGGGTGACGAAGAGGTGCAATCCAGAGATACGAGTATCGATCCTAGGCCTGGCAGCGTTTATTATGGCGCGTGTGAGGACCTCAGAAACGAAAGTCGTCAGTTCTCGGGCCGTTGATCAGCTAGTCATATGTGTTGTCATCTACAAGCTCTAGACGAGAGTGTGTGATGTTGTTGTTTACGGGACCGCAGGATAATATCGAAGGTTGATTGGGGGGGCCGTGAGCAGGCGTACCAGATGACCGACCTACTGGTGAAAATGTATACCGACAGACCGAGGGGCTTATCTTGGGAGGCGTGGATTAGGACGCGAGTGTCACCATCGCCAGGATCTGCACGTAGTAGGGCCGCTATGCGGCGGGCGTGTGGGCGCGTGGTAGCTGTAGGGGACTCTGATTCTCATCTGCCGTGGCACGCAACCAGAAGGTTTGCGAGCATTCGGTGAGGCGACAGGCGGCAGTCACACTTAAGAGAGCTGTTGATGTGGAGCATGATCTGGATAGCGTGTGGGGCGGCGGGAGAGAGCACCTCTTTCAACAGATGTCCCTGCCGTCTGCGTCTCCGCTGCGATTAACGTGGCAGAACGAGGTGAGGAGACACATGTCGCCGGTGCCTGCACAATTGTGAGAGGGGCAGCGCGTCATGTGTGGGTCGTAGTGTGTTTCGACGTCAAAGAGGGACTACTGGGGGGTAATAGTGTGGTTATATATACTACGCGTGGGAGTGTGCTGCTCTGATGCGCGCACGAGTTTGGCAGCCTTCGTGCGAATGCGAGCGTGCGACAATTGGCTGCTATAGGCTCTAGAGTAGGCAGATCTGTTACTCGGGAGTGGAGCGCATACTTGCGGAAGAAGAACGAGGCGTTGTGAAGAGCCTAGTGTCGGGATATACAGGCAGGGAAGAGGCGTGATGTCTGGCGAGTCGGCAACGCGTGCGGTTCAAGGTGTAGAAGCGCGGTCTCTTGGGGGTATAGAGTGCGGATATCTCGTTGTCGCGGAGAATCGCGCCTCGTCAATGTAGGTGAATTGGGCTCGGGGCACATTGGGTGGTTTTGGGGTGGGTGTTTGTGTTGGGGATTGAGGCCTAGGTCGCGCGCCGAAATCTCGGACTCGAGTAGTCTAGTGGCGGAGAAGGTGGGGCCGGTGCAGGAAACTGCTAGAGGTGCAGTTCGGGGAGGCTCTAGGGAGAGAAAGCCGTCGGTTTGAAGATGCGTGCATTCATCCGAGGAGGGGTTCCGTTACAATCACTAGTGAATGCGAGTGGGTGGGACTTTACGATGAATCTTCCAACTTCTTGGGCGCGAGTATATGACAAATTCTGCTTTAGGGACTGCCAAGTGCTCTCCTGATCCTAGGTGTGGGGAGGTATGTCACTGGAGAAACTCAGCTCCAATGAGAAGCATCTAGGCTCTGAGAGGGCCTCGGAGTGAGTCGCTGCGTGGACTAGACAGGTATGCGTTGTGGGTGTGGGAGGGGGTAGGGGCAGCTAACAGAGCAGGAACACGGTAGTCGAGTGATGATCAGAGTATTGTCGGTCATCTACATCGGTCTACATCTCCATCTGTTGCTGTGAGAGACTATAGCGGCACGTTATCAACATCTGTTGCTATGCCGCAGTGACAGTGACAGTGCTGTCTGGTATTCCTCGGGTATTTGGTAGGGTGTGAAAGTGCACGCGATGTGGTATGCTAGAGGCGCACTGGGGACTGCGTCACAAGATGCAGTTCAACTTCTGTATATCGACTCAACAGCTTAGCATCCATCACTAGTTTCCTGAGTGATGGATCGCCGCGCCTTTGTCATGCGATGTGCGTTTGTGTGTGCATCGCCTGATGGGTGTAGCGCTTCTGTGCTGCTGATACCGGGGATGGTAGTATTAGAGAGGGGGGGCGGCACGTGAGATTGCCAGATAGAGCGTATGCGCGTGCGTGGAGTTATAGAAAGGACGGCGGTGAATGTGTCATGAGCGCGTAGCACAGATCGAGCACGGAGACGTGATGAGGGTGTGATGACGGATGACAAAGCCAGTGAAGGAGGCAAGGAGAAAGAGTAGTGCAGGCCGATGAGAGGCGCTAAGCGATGAGACGTCTCCAATAGCACGTGGATCTTTCAAGCTGTTGTGAGTTCTCTGAGACGAGGAAAGTGTCATTAGTGACGCGCATGGCTATTGATATCCCTAGTCACGTTCTGTTGATATAAAGCGAAGAGGCTAGGTGAGAGTTCTGTGGCAAGCCCTCAAACTCAAGTCGCGCGCATCACTGGTCCACTCGCGAAGTAGTGATGTGCCGAAAGGAGAAGGGAGGGAGAACGTGTGAAGATATATTGGCGGAAGCGCTACATGGGTGTGATATAGTCTGAACGAGGACTCGGAACGGAGGACATCCGCGAGATATTCACAGCAAACGAAGTCCGCCGTGGAAATCGTGAACCGCACTACGCGCTACTTGCTGCTCAGGTTTGGGGCGCTGAGCAGAACTGGAGCGAGAGTCGAGTGCCGGAGAGCCATAGTATTTTGAGCAGTCGACGTGAGGTGCGTGCCTGGTGCCTGCTGTCTCGTGGCGGAGACGGCGTTTCGTGGAGTCGTTTGTTGGTAGACCTGAAGCTCGCGATTCGTGCCGTGTAGCGCAAACTTGTCGGGTGATGTCTATGAGGGTGGGAGGATTCCGGAGAGCCTCGAATGAGCTCGTGGGGGTTGTGTGTGAGGTCGGGCAACAGTAGCCTACTCGAACGACTGCTGTCAATGTGAGGGAGGGTAGGGGTAGCCGCCGGCCAGATAGGTCTATTGTAGCGTCAGATTATCTGTCTCGTGCCCGCGAGACTGGGATGCGGGGTCGCTGGGGGTGGGGTGGGCACGGGCGGCGGGGGTGGCGAAGGGGTGGAGTTGTGGTGTGGACTAGGAGGCCGATGTGTTCATTCCGTCCATTCGTCGAGTATCGATCTTGCGCGGTGTACTGTGCAGTCGATTTTAGCGTGGGAGTGGTCGCGGAGAGTCGTAGGGCAGGTGTGATAAGAGAAGATATGCGGGCGTCTTTATGAGTTGCGGAGTGGGGATGAGTGGCGTAGGGGGTAGATGTAGAGCAGCGCGGGGGAAGCGGGTGGTGGGTGCTTTTTCGGAGGAATGGGGGAGTGAGTAGCGGGGTCTCGGCAGGGCTTAGGGGAAGGTCTGTTGATGTATGGTTGCAGAGGCGCGGGAGGAGGAGATGTCGTGGAGCTGCCAGTCGGTTGAAGTGGGTGTGACACAAAGTGCGGTAACAGCCCTAGCGGCATGCTCGTGCCAACCAGGCTTTATTTATATGTATATCGAGTGTGCACGGAGAGTGTGGGACTAGCGGTGGTCAACGTGAGCTTCATCGAAGAAAGCCAACGCTTGTGGGTGATCGATGTGGGCAGGAGAAGACTGTCGAGATGGATTAGCAAGGAACAGATTAACGCAGTGTGGTCGGACAAAACGTATTGCAGTCAGGCTTACTAGCGACTCTTAGCACGGGGGTGAGGTGGGCTATTATATGAGGTGCACCTGAGAGTGAGGTCATCATGCTCATGTCCGGCGGCAGCGAGGCGCGCGGGAGCGATGTGAAGCGCCTATTTGGAGTGGAGCAGTAGCGAGTGTGAAAGTATGTCGGTGAGCCTGTGGCCTGGGGGTCGGTACGGCCTGGTGGGTGGCGCAAGGAGGCGTGCGGACTACGTAGCACAGGGAGCAAAGGCGTTCCAAAGCTGTAGGAGAAGGGCGGGAGGGCGCAGCGGCACTCTTTAAGGGGAGGAGGGTGTTTCATGCACTGCCTACCAAACGGACCGATTTCGAGGGTCCCTGAGGGAAATGAGTTGTGAGCAGGTGGTTAGTAAAATATTCTGTGCGCTGAATCCGTGGATGATACGGCTGATAGAGTCACATGGTTACTTTCTAGCTTAGGACAAACTCGCGAGGGCTGCCTCGCGCATGTGAGCTGCAGTTTTGTATAGCAACTGAGGCCAAAAGTAAGAAGCCGGAAGTAAGCGCATCAGGCGCAAATTGGCGGGCCCCAGGAAAGGGGGGGGGGCTGGAGCCGAGGATTAGTGCCGAGACGGGGCTAGGCGGGGGGGCGGTTGGAGGTATCTCGCCTCCGTGGGGGGGATAGAGGGTGGCCCGTTGTGGCCGTGTGGCGATGCCGCGGTGTTGGGTGTCCTGCGCTCACGAGGTATCTCTGAGATGGCAGCTGGCACGGGAACAAATAAGAGGGCGTGAGGGGTGTATTTGCAAGCGAAGTGACCCTTATGGCGGATTTGAAACGGCTTTCAAGACGTAGTGCCCTTGGTGGAGGCAGCGATTATGTTGGCTATGGGGGAGATCCGGGCGGGTGGCGATCCACATTGGTAGGCGGAGGCGAAACGCGTGAGCTTCGCAGCGGACGCGAGTGAGAACTCGGAGAGGGTGGGGGGTGGAGTGAGCTGGAGAGCGGGGCGGGTGAGGGGGGGGGGGGGCCCTGTAGGGGGCTGGGGGGGTCGCTGGCGTCAGAGAGGGTGGGGTATGTGGTGCGATTGAGGGAGGTACATGCGAAGGGGCGGCGGAAGTGTAGGGGGGCTTATTCTGGTGTTGGATAGGGCTAAGCGCGAGGGGGGATAACGGAGACACGCCAAGTCTGTCAAATGACGAGTAAGCCAAGAGCGAGATACGTTGTGGTATCGATTTAGGCCTTTACATTTCTCACTCACTTACCAAAACTATAACACGCTCTACACAATTTTGTGCGTGTACACATCCCCTCCCCAGCTGGCGAAACTGGGATCTTAATGTATGGGGGGGGGGGGTGAGGGGGGGGTGGCTCGTAGGAGTATAAGCGATGGGTGGGGAACACGGGTGGGGGAAGCTTGTAAGGATGAAGCGATGTGGGACTTAAGTCGGGGCGTGGTAACGCTTGCGAAGAGTGTAGGGATACATTTTTAGACTTGCTGCAATCAATGCCGAGGGACGGTAGGAACTTTGTCAATGGGAGGAGTGCACAGGGTGGCTTTTTAGAACGGTGCCAAGATAGGAGGGGAGTCCGTAGAGTATTGAGGGTTGTATGCCGTTGTGGTGCCAAGAGTGCTTGTGTATGGTCGGCGCGGGGCATAGCGTGGATGTGAGGTAGGGGATGCGTGGGGCGAGAAAGAGCCGGGGAGGTGGTGCCGAGGGTGGGGGGGGGGGCGCGGCTGCAAGGTGGTAAGGTTGAGGATGGCGGGGCGGGGTGGGCGCGGCGGGAGGGGGGGCGGAATTGGTGGATGGAGTAGTGGCGTAGTGGGATTTCACGGGTAGACAACTATTACCTTGTGACCGTGGGGACAATCACAATAGCACCCTCAACTCACAGGGCACTATGCTCTTGTATCCATCCTAGACGGATTCACCAAACGATTGAGGGGGCGCAGCGGCAGACGTGTTCGCCTGAGGTGTTGTGTGGGCCGGGGCGGTGGGGGGGGCCGTTGCCCCAGTAGAGTGTCGCCCTGGTAATGCCATCGAGGGCAACAGCGCATGGTACCGGCGCATTCGGGCTTAGGAGGAGGAGAGGGCCGCGGGCGGGTCTCTGTTTTCGTACATCCCGGGAGTGGCGTGTGAGCACGCAGGGTAGTCCGTAGAGGAGGAGGGTACGCTGTGGTGTTGCAGCCCCTGCAGTGTGTCGCATTCAACCTCGGATCGATTGTTCAGGAGTGTTTCAGTGTCTGTGCCACTTCTGCTAGAGGTCACCAGATCGTGTGTATACGGTGCAAGTCTCAAACTCTTTCAGGGTCTTCATTTGCTGCACAGTGGGCCCGTACACTGCTTTCAAAGAGTTGTAGCACTTTTTTTGACGATATTCCGCTCAGGACTCCAGCTGCGCAGCTTGCACTGTGCACCAGGTATTTCGCACCTAACGCAGCTCTCCAGCTGGCATCCTTCGAATGTGATGAACAGCATTACTCTTCATGGTACTGTTAGGATCAACCTCGGATGCGATGAATGCTGCGCTTTTCGCTCTCACTACTGGCTCAATCCTCTTACTGTTGTCGTCAAACCAGTCGGGCGGCTTATAGTTTGTACATCCAATGGTCTCTTCCGTAGCGATGGTCATCACTTTCTTCAAGTGGTCCCATAGGTCGGTGACAGAAGCCGAGAAGTCGTCTTCGCCAAGGCGGGTTCTTATGGCATCCTGCAGTGCTTGTCTCATTTCTGCACTCGAAAGGGTGCGTATGTTGTTTTTCCTACGATTGCTATTCGCTGGAATGTACGACAATTTGTAGGTATGTATGTGGAACTTTGTGCGCCCCAACTTATGATCAGTCCCACATTCAGCTCCACGCATTACCCGCGTTATGCGTACTTCACGCATGTCCCGTTTACGTCCTATGACGTAGTCCATCAAGTGAGCATGACCACTCCGTGGATGGGCCCATGTAGTAATCTCACTAGCACACAGAGCAAACTGAATGTTCGTAATCGTCAAGCCACTGAAGAAAAAAGTTCTCTGTTCCTACTGACTATCCCACTCCCGTGCGGCCCAATCACCTCAGCCCACACTGTGGCTTCACACCCTAAACGTGTACTGAAGTCACCAAGCAGGAATAGTCGATCACTCATCGGCATAGACCTTATAACAGAGGCCAATCGTGAGTAGTACTGATCTTCCATATCCTCTAAATAACTCATGGTGGGACCATATGGGCTAATAAATGTTGTGAACTTACCACGTCTGTGGCATCTAAAGAAGGACATCAACTGTGTGCTGATACCAGTCGGCTCCCTCGTCAAGCCGCCATTCAGGCTCACAGTAATTGCGAATCCGAGACCTTGTTCACGTGATGCTGCGTCTGGATTATCAATCTAGTAGTAATTGTACCCAGCAACATCCTCTCACAAGTTATCTTGATCTGGTAGTCGGGTTTCACTCAGCGCTGCAATATCAATGTCATACCGCGCAAGCTCTATGGCGACTAATGCGGTTCGTTGCGTACGTCGATGAGTAGTATCCCGATCGGGCAGTGTGCGCAAATTCCAGTATCCCATCTTGAGTGTTTGGCGTGCTGGTCTGCGGCCACTTGTGGCTCTTGAAGTCGATGGCGGAGATGTGGGTGGATTTGGCTCGTCCGGGGGTTGGGTGAAATATACTTGGACCGAGGAATGTGGAGTGCTATGGAACCCGCGAACAAGCAAATGATCAATGATGGTTAAATGTCACTTATACATCCTACTGTGTGTGTGAGAGGTGAGGTGACGCTTAAACTAATATTGCTCGACGAACTACGTCGGCCCCGTGTGTTATGATTTTGCTTTTGACTGAGCATACTCAGTAGCCGTACGAGAACTGCGTGTGTAGTGTTAACGAGAAATCCAGAAACTGGTCTCAAGTGCATGCACTAACATGCTTGGCGGCATCCGGTTTCGGATTTGCCTGTCACTGTGGCAAGCCACAGGGCGCCTGCGCCTGCAGAGGGACCATGGATGGCTTGCGCTGCACCACCCACAGCACTAACATAGACGCCTAGTAATAGACTTACAGAGTCCCAATGCTTTCGGTCGTGTAACAGCTTGTTGTTGCCTGATTCACGCGAGATTCAGGAACGATAGATCATAGGGCCGTCAGTGAATCGCGGGCTCATCCAAAACTAACCGATTAGTGAGGGAATGGAATCTGAGTTTTTGGTGCTATGATGGGCACATGTGTCGCTCCTCCCCCCTGTGTGATCACGTTACGTGTAGTCATAAAATTTAATCCTTATTCTTGTTCATCATGTAGGTAACGGGTGTACTCCAGTGTGCCGACATAGCTTGCTCCACAGATTTCCTCGCATGCAATATCACTCTGGTCAGGTTGGGAATCACCAGATAAGTGGAGCTTGGTTGTTAGCTTGATTCTGATTAGAGCACACTTACTAAACTGCTACCAGAGTGTACCCTAAATCCTGTCTCGGGTAGTATGTTTAGCTGTGGAACCTTAAGCTAGTTGGTTGCCATTGATTTCGACGAGGAACATTTACCAAGTGTAGATTATTCGACCATCGCAGATAAGTTATCACATTTTAGCACCAAACAGCAATACACGTAACAAGTGGGACGATCATGCGATAAGTACAGAACTAAAAGGAGCTTGTTTTCCCGTTCAGCTCTTTCAATTCTTCTGCGCCCAAGCGAGCGCAATCGGTGTGCTACTGCTTACAAGTTGAAATGAATTAAAACAATTGTAGCCTGGGTTTGCCGTTCAGCTGCTGTTTGAGGCCCCATGCTCAATGTAAAGATTGCATGCGTCTAGCTACCAAACAAATTGGCATTGTGAGCGCCGTACTGTGCAGCATGCAATGTGGAACCGTATTTTTACAGTTGTAAGTGTTGTGCGATCTTCCCTCGCTGGGTTTCCTTCTAAGACCGAACTATGCTTTGGGCAAAGTTAATGCGTCGGTTTCCAAATCCGTATAGCCGAGAAAGAAGCGAGGCAGTTGTCAAAAGACAATTACCCGGGTAGGTGAGCATGTAGCTGGTTCTTTGAACAAGGTAAGAGTGTGGACCTGAAAGTTGATTTAAGCTGACCAAACAAAGCGGAGTGCAGACAAAATAGGCCGATTTTCGGTGTATGCCTTTTCCGGTAGACAGCACAAGCTGGGTGCCTTTATGCAAAGTTGTTGGTCATTAGTAGGAATGAAGCAGGCATCTCGCGTTCGTTCACGAAGACAGGCAGTCATAAACGACTGTAAAATAAGCTGCAGGGGGATACGCGAGGGACTGGGGCGGATAGCTCAGCGGCGGCGCTGAGTTTTTAGGGTTAAAACACGGGGGGTAATATTGACCAGGTAGTGGGGGTATCTTAGGAGAGGCTAGAAGGGCGAACGACTCATTAAGGCGAATGTGTTCGAGAATTGCCGACATAATTATCAAACGCACACAGTGGCATCACAGCGCAGATCGAGCACAGGAGAGGCTAGATTATGGGTGGACGTCTGTACAGATGAGACTGCTTGCCAGCGCTATGGATTAATTGCTACACTCGGTGGGGGGGGGGTGTGTGGGTGTGGTGGGGGGTGTGGTTTGCACTAACAACTAGCGACAGGGGGGGGGGGGTATGGAGCTGGGTGGGGGGGGGGTATTGGGGCGTCTGACAAGATGAGATACTGGGTGGGGGTGGGGGGGAGGTCGGGGGGGGGTATTGGTGGGGGACAGAGTCGGGGGGTGGGGTTGGAGTGTGCGTAAAAAGTACCGGTGGGGAGGGGGTATTTAATGGACTGCATCAGGGGTTTGGGTTATGTAGGTATGGGGGGATGTTATTATTAACGAAACTGGGCATCGTGGGTTATGATCTTGCGGTGGGCGGGGTTATGGTATGCTAAGGCGAGTGAGAACATATTCCGTCCCAAACATATATTGTTAGTGGTGGGGGGGACGCGGTGAGGAGTTTATTAGGTGGACGTGTTGTCACAATCGTATGCAATGACCAGTTAGCTGTGGTGGAAATGTAGATGAGCTGTTTATCGTCATTCGTCGGGAGACACGATAGCTTGAACATCGGTGAGTTGACAACGATGAGTATGTATAGCGGTACGATGCAAGGGTGTAGGTAGCGAATGTGGTGAGAGGATAATAATAGGAGGGGGTTGGTGGGGTGTTTTTGGGGACAAACGTATAGGGGGGTGTGGGGGGAGCGTGGATGGGGTGATACACGGGTAGGGGCTTTTGGGGCGGGTATCTACCAGGTGAAATGGATAGAGAGAATAGTGAGGTTAGGGTGGTACTGTAGGGTTAAAAGAGTAGTAGGAGAAGATTCAGGTTTAGTTCTGCCGATCAAGACTAAGAGGGAGTCTCAGCCTCTAAGGGGAGGGGGGGGCTAGGTTAAGAGATGAACATTTCACACTATTGGAGAACGTCAAAGATTACATCGTAGATGTAAAGAGATGAAGAACGCTCATTAAATTGAGAGGTAGGGTTTTCACATTTAGTACGGAGGGATAGGGATGGGGTTTAGTTGGGGGGGGTGAGCGTATGTAGAATGGAGAGAGGGTTATATTCAAAAGGGGAGGGTAACAATGTGGAACATATTCGGAGGGGGTGTTAAGCTGAGTGGAAGGATAGGGCTGGTTGGGGGGGGGGTGGTTGGTGTGGGGGTATGAGGGATGGTGGAGTTAGAGGGTGACAGTATTTATGGTTGGGGCTCATTATTGGTTGCAGTTATGGGACACTGAGGGGGGGTAGGAGTAAGTAGATTTGGGCTTGGAATAGTAATCTATAATTGGACGTGAGAGGTGTAGGGGGGGTGGGGGAAAGATGGGTGTCGTAAGCGTATCGGGGATGCGGGGTACGTTTTATTGAGGCGATAATGGTAGGGTTATATGCGCGGAGTTGGTGTTGGGTTATGTGGTCTTAGCTATGAGGTGTAGGGGGGTGAGGGTGAGGTGGGGTGAAACAACCTGCGGGAGGGGTGTCTGCGGGGGGGGGAAGGTATGGTCGGTGGCCGTGGGTGGTCGGGGGGGGGGCATGGGCAGGGGAGGGGCCTTATATGGGGGGGTGTGGGGGGGGTAGAGCGGGGAGGGACGGGTGTGATACGTGGGGTGGGGGGGGGGGGGGGGTGGGGGGGGTGTGAAGGACCTAACCCTGCGCGGGCGTCGCGGGGGGGGGAGTGGTGGGTGGGGCCTGGGGGGTGGCGGTTGTTGTGGCCGAGGTGATGTTGGAAAGATAGTGGGTGGCGGTGATGCCGTAGGCGGTTCGGGTGTGGGGGGGGTGGGGGCGGCGTCGGAGTATGCCTGTGGCGGAGTGTGGGCCAATAAAAACAATGAAAGGAGGGGGAGGGATGTCTTTAGTTTGTATTCGGCGGGGGCGGCGCGGCCGTTGCCTGTGTTGGACTCGGAGGGCGAATTTCTTCCGGGTGGGCCGGCTATCATCGCGGCCCCCGGTCTTTTCTGATCTTCTTAGCTTCGTCGTCGGCCTGAACAGGAGGTACAGGGGGAACAGGTAGGTGGTTGCGGGGGCATGTGGCCACGCAGGGAAGTGCGGGGGGGGGGGGGTTAGGTGGGGAGGGGTTGGAGTGTGATTGTGCGCAAAACAAGGCACACAGCAAAAAAATTCCCGCCCAGAGAATCAGGTAGAAGTTTTCACTCAATGTTGCTTAAACTTTTACATCTAATATGAAACATACAGACTTTAATTAAAATGATATTTACAAACCTTCCCCAAAAACGACATACAATACCACCCAGTTTTTTTCGTTCAAGGTTTGAGAAAATAGCAGAGCCACAAGGAGACTTTCGGTCGACTGTGCAGTTCGTGCTTCTGTCCAAAAGAGAACAGAACAAAAACATTCACAACAAACACATCAACAAAAAAAACCACATCAAAAACAACTATCAAAAATAATTGTGGTTCCAACCACAAAAAACTGGAGAAGGTTCACGACGAGTCATACTCAGGCGCGCATAAACGGGCACTGCTAATCGAGGGCTCTGACCTTCCCGATCTTGCAGGATCTTGTTTACTCCTTCTTTATTCTTTTTTAGAGCCATTTGTCCAGAGTCTAGTTAAATTTCTTCGTTTCCGAAGCAATTAGGCAGATGTATAATTGCACAAGCAGGGGAGCTGTGCTGCAATAGGTGTCAATAAGAACGATGAATATCTAAGAGCTTGGCTGTTCTGGTGCCACCAGCCCCACCCAGATCAATTATTATCTTTTGTTGTGCGAGCTGGATGGTGGCGCTTGACGGTATACCAGACGGAGAATACCTAGAGTGGTGCGGCGGGCTGTAATGGTATATTTATGTTGCTAAGCCATGCACCCAGCACCAAGCGCATTTTAAGAAAAAAACAAAAAATGCATGCTTTAAACATTTTGATAAAAAACACAACCATAAGTTATAAAAAATTATGCCCATGGGTAACGTTTCCGCCACACACGTCGCCTTCAGGTAGGTCCGTCTTGATCTGTAGGAATTGCATAGTTATAAGTGGGGCGCGGGGGGAGTACTCCCAGATTATGGACGAGCAGGCGCAGCACCGCAAGGGATACAGTGGCCAGCAACTCGCGGTTCTGGTCCTCAGTATTTCTAAGAACAGAGAAACACAAAAAAAAAAAATCCCACGGCTGGCCTGAAAAAACACCTGGTCAAGTTAAAAGTGGACGATGGTTCGGCGCAACCAGCACCAAGGTCGGGGAAAGCCATCCGACCTCCAGTCGGAACCGGGTAGGATGGCCTAAGGGAATGAGGACTCTCTTCCACATAGGACTAAGTTCCAACACATCATCGTCTTCCTCTCGTCTACCTATTCCTTTCACAAGTCCGCTCTTGCGTACCCTCCGAGCTCCCGTTCCCCGCCCCCCCATCCGTGCCCACCACTCTATCTATCCTAACGCATACACATTCCGCCAACGTGTCGCCCCCTATCGTTCCCCGGCTCAACACTTCCCTAAGAGAAGTGCCTCGGGCCCGACGCAGCCGGAACCCGAGTATCCACACTAACGTGCCGCGAGACACTCCAGCACGTAGTATACCCCATGTTCCTTGCGCATAGCCCTTAGGCGGGTGGGACCTGTGGCACAGCTAAGCACGCCTGCTGGACAAGTAGCAGTGGCACATGAACGTCTCAGGTCGAAATGTATACATAATTCCGACCAAGCCAAACTCGAATCACGACCCAGAAGAACGCTTGGGTAAAACTAAACAAAAGTCTTGTGCAGCCAGAACATCAAAGACACAGGCTAGCACATGCAGGGCTGTGGGGTAACACAAAACTTCGCAGTGTGATTGGTGCCTGACAGACCCACCCCACCCCGATTGGTTGGTGTTCCTTCCCACCCCAAACGGCGAGAGACAGACCAACGACCAAAGAACCGCACCCACACACCACACAAACTGAGCAGAAATCGCTGTGACTGACAACACACACAGTTTTACCCTGTACCATCAGTGGCTCATTTAAATGACCGGTCCAGGTTGACTTCTAGGGCAACGTATGTGTCAGCTATAGATATGTTCGACGTGAATGCTAGAAGATCAGGTCCTCGTCCGAAGACAACACCTCGACTGCAAACTCCACGAGGTGGCTGTTCGTCACTGCGAGTGACAGGTTGTTCAGCATTCGTCACACTGCTAAGCTCAGAAAGAGATTCCGTCAAAGAACGTTAGATGGCCTGAAGTTGTGATTTGTACGTGTGGCATGCAGGGTTTCCCATAGTCGACCTCATTGAGCATGCATATGAACTTAGTATTATATTATTCAACCCTTGACCAATGTACAATTGACTGTGTCACACTACATAGTTAACAACAACCCAAAGGGGGAAAACAGATAGTCAATGAAAGGATTTGGAAAGTTTCGTAAGTTAATGTGTTGTGTCGGCAATGATCTTCCTCGTTGCCCAGGCCAAGGAAGAGGGTTGACTTAAGGGAACCCACTCCGAGCCTTTGGTCTTAAAACCTGAGACGCAAGACAGCGGGACGATTAACGGAAACCGTTGACATTTGGATACTTCATTCGCCTTCTTTGTGTTCAGTAGCAGTCTACAGAGAAGCCGGTCACCAGGACGGTTGTTCATCCGCTCGCTGTTCAATACTTAGCTCTGGTTACAGAAGTGAGTGGTCGTTGACCCTATAGCCGGTCACAGTGACCTTGAAACAGCGCCGTAGGAGCTCTTGTGGTATTTATGGAGAACCAGGTGACCAGCCCAGAAATTCCCACGGTCTGAGACGCTGCCGCTGTGTGTCCGCGACTGGTTGGTCATTTCGCCTGGAAGACAAACGAGCCTTATTCGCAGCTACAACCACAAGGAAGACATACCCCACTCCGAAACTTGGGGACGCGCCCCATAACGTACAGCTCCGCCACGGGAGCATACATATGCAGGAAGAGTTGGCCGGCTCCAAATATATTGTGCTTCTCATCCTCATAAGAACCAGGCTTTTGCTTCACGTTTGCACGGAATGTATAGGGCATATGGGCGGACCTGTGTGTGTAGCAGTACAGGAACAAGTGTCTTGAGGCAGTTCACAGGCACTGTCAAAGGCACCCTACGGAAATAGCTTTAGCAAATCGATCGTGAGAAACGGCAAGACAAGAGCAGTTGCCTACGAAACTTATATGCCCGGACGACTATGTTGTACTGTACGGAAAGAAGTCTATCAACCCCCGTCAATTACCGCCCGGTAATGTTTCTTCTTGTGCCTACCAATTTCGTGTAAGCCATTGTCGTAGACCCATTAATGAGCTATTCGCAAATATACGGTATCGTCGTACGGCAACATCATAGGTTTCATCAAACTCTACCATGTACTAGGAACCATTATCCAAGACCACTGCACCAGCGGAGCGGATGACAGGACAAGTAAAATTGACATATACTTGACGTTTTCAATGCGATCTCTCTTTTGAACCAGTTTATACTGCTACATTACCTTTAGGCGTATGGTACTGGAGATTCAGTATGGGGATAGATCCGTAACTTTTGCCGCGAAGGGCAGGTAGAATTTGGTCCCCGAACATCTTGGACCGCCCCGATTCGAATAGATTGCAGCGTATGCGTTTTTCGGTACTTGGACTCTTCGCATTTTCCTGTTCTTAGTTGAGGATGGGCCGTAAATTGTTATGTCAACATTGTAACTCTGCGAACTACGTTAAGATTGAAAGAACGATCAAGGAATTTGACTATTATGAGTTCCTCCTTTACAGGGGTTCTCAAAACTTTCGGGTCGTGGACCCCTGTTTAATGGAAACTCTACCGGCGGACCCGTGATATGTATTTAAGTTCAGGACTAGGCTCTAATAAACTTCGGGAATGCACTTTCGCACGGAGAAGTTGTGGTAAATGGAAGAAGAACTACTACAGCCGCTTTCGCTGTGCCAGTATATAATTCCTTCGTTTAACACCAGAAATCCCACAGGGACAATTTGTGATACCAACTAGTACAAAATTAAAATTCAACCAAGTATGTTTCTGTGACAATTTATCAAAGTTTTTGTCTTCGTTTGACGGCTTATCTTTGTGTTATATGTTCAAACGTTAAAATGAAAACAAATAAGTAAATACTAGGATCACAGAACAAGTCCCACATTTGGTTACCTTGCTAAGTCAAACTTTAGAGTATAAATAAAGTAAACAGTACAGTCAATATCTGTTACGTAGCACAAAGAATTTATATTCAACTAGCAAAATCGAATGCGCACATTTGTCGTACACCGAAAGTCCCTCCCTTTCCTTCTCGGCTTCCCAGGTTGGGATCGCACCAATGGGTCTCTCATTCCGATTGGCCGATTTCGGATGATAGCGACTCTCGAAATGAACGCAAAAATAAGTCTCATGATTCATTTATCCCCTCTCCACGAGGGACGAATTCCTAGTTATGTGGGCATACTTTGACGGAGAATGAACCACTTAGCTTCAACTAATCGCATCACAAGGGATTACCACACTATCCATCTGACATTTGACACCTTAGTTCACTGACATCTTAGTCTTCTGTCAAACCCAGGTTTTTCTTGGAAGGAGTTCACGTTACGTCGGCCAATGACTAGACTAATGAGGACTGACAAAGCTGAACAAATACCATGTCTGCACAGCTTTGACATGGGAGTGTAAAATAAAAGAATCCTGTCCAAGACATTTCGGGAAATCTCATGGACTCTTTGAACGTATTCCACAGACCACGTTTAGAGAAACACTGACCTAGCCCGAATTTGATAAATCTTAGCGTTGACCAGTGACTAAGGTGCTATCACCCAATAAGGATAAATGTTGGACTGTTTACACTCGCATGTGCATGCCAACTTTCGGGAACATGATCACATTTTACTCTTACAGGATGACCAAGCTATTCCAGGCAAGTTGAGTTCGCTTTAAAAATGGGACCCAGCATGTTGATTTCTTGCGGTGAGCACAAGGGAGTTGCGGTTCATTCATCTTCTCGCTGAGGCTCAACACCTACGTGCGACCCCACGTCGAATACGCGATTTACGCTTGGCAAATTCGCAGTTCTTGATACACCGCAATTCGGACAACCAAAATTGTTGTGGGTCTGCGCCAG